ATGATCTTTGCCTTTGATTGTTATTTATTGAGATGAAAATGTTGCATGATATATGGTTTGCCCTGTTTTATTGAAGAGGATATGATCAAAGACAAAATGGAGAGTAGTAATATAACTCAAACATTTGTTTTATTTTTGTGACAATTCGTTACTTTATTTAACATTTTCCATCATACATCATATTGTTACAATGAAAATATGTAGTAAGTAAACAACAAAAGTAAGAAGAAAATAGTTAAAAGCTATTTAAAACTGATATTGATATTATATTTTTTTAAGTTAGTAGTTACATATTATTGTCAATCAGCTATCTATTTATATAAAATACTTATCCATTCACCTAAAATTTAATCATTATAAACATCAATTATCACCTTTTTTGGAAAAAAAATACTAGCGCAAAAATAAAATATCTATTTAGATAAATAAAATAATAATGATAACAAAAATAAACAAATAATAATAATAATAATGATGATATTAAAATGAGAAAAAATCAGTCAGTTAGTTTTAGTATAATGGTATAATGTTATACTATTTTTCTCATTTTACTACAGTAACTATGCTTAGAAGTCTTAAAATAAATATCAGAAAACATATTGCGCTCTAACAATATAATTGTTATATTTACCGGGATTTGTTTCCAAATTACCCATTTATACAGTATGAGCATCGTAAAATTATTTGAAGTGACAAATATCTGAAAGATAAGCTCCTTTTCTTTCTAACTTTTAACAAAATGAACAGGTAATTTACTCGTAAAATACATGTAAAGCAGTTAATAAAGAATTTTATGATAGGAAGATTTTTACTTTTTTTAATTATTCATAAATAAACAAATGAATAAATAAAGTGATGAATAAATAAGTAAATATAAGTAAATACATAAATAACAATATGAATACTAGTAAATAAATAAATGAATAAATATAAATGCATAAATAAATTAATAATAAATAAATAAATAAAATGAATTAATAAAGATAAAATAAGATAAATTATGTTAGTGATGTAATATAAAGTGAATTGAAATGTGATAAAAACATCAAATGGTTAAAATGTAATAAAAATGCGGTATATCAATATTAATAATATATGAGATGGAGTGATTTTTTGTGTCATGAAAATCTATTGTTTTAATGATGAGTAAATATCATAATTATATAACCCGGTTCAGAAAGAAGACAGATCTCACTCAACCAACGTTTTATTTCAAACGATTTTATGGTAATATGACACATCTTCAACTGTTAATAATTTTGAAATAATATTCAAGATTATGCAGACATGTAACAGATAACTGTATGTTCCAAAAGTGATTATTCAATGTTCTAAAGTATCTTTACTCAAAGAGGTTGCTAAACTAATAAGCTTTCATTCTAGGCTAATCGTACAATCTCTTTAGTTGTAAAATAATGTCGATTTTACTGACAGTCGATTTCACATTAATCATTTTCGCTAGAAGTCAATAAATACACTCACCTAAGAAATGCTAGCACTAATAGTCCATTCATTACGCATTACGCTGAAATAATGAAAGTTAAATGTTAAGTTGATTTATTACACAAATTGTGAGAAGTTCTACACTATCTTCAGGTATTTCATTAAAAAGAATAAATGCGTTTTAAAAATGAAATAATAAGATATACATTTCTAACTTTATGATAACTATTATGTAACACAAGTTAAAATTAATTTAAAAAAACGGATACATAACTGAAAATGAAACTAAACTATTAATTTTATCTAACAACAAAAGTATCTTAAAAATGCTCGGCCGTTTTAAACCAGGCTGCTTTGTTTATACATACAATTTTAGTCCTAGATATATTCAAAGGTATGTTCAATGATATGTTTTCATAGATCGTTTTTCATGTTGTTTGTGTGTTTTTCTGTGTTTATTTTTTTTTCAAAGATAAAAAAAAAATCATTTAACTTGCAATAAAATTTATGCATAGCATAGAAAGAGATTAAAGTTTCATTTTTTTTCCATAAAATTGCATGCATTGCTACTGAAACAAACACAAAAAAGACAAAGTTGGTATTACTGAACATTCATCGAATGTAATAGAAATAACAAATAAGTTTTTTATGGAGAATTCTGATCTCATATCTAATTTCCTAAATGATATCGAAAATCAGAAACAAAAACAAAAAATCAATTTGAACATTGAAACATATCAAACATATAAAGAAAAGATGTTTATGAAAGAAAGATATTGGATTTTAAAAGCTAGTATCAAAATTGTAAAAAGGTTAAAGGCACAATATGTCCCAAAATATCACAAAATTGTTCTATATGGACAATGAGTGAGTAATATTTTTTATGAAACTGAAACAGTAACAAGAAATCAAACATAAATAAAACTAACAGCACAACATTTTTGAGGCATGACGTGCCTTTATGTATTTAATACCAAAGATTATGAACAAACAGAAGTTTATGGCACAATATGTCTCAGAAATTCATACTTATCAAATATTGTAATATTGCGCAATATTATATTACACACAACTCAAAGCACTGATAAGACATATTTATACATTTCCCGGAATTATATTTTAGCAAAATCAAATAATAAGTTTAATTCTTTGAACAAAAATCTGTAGTTGAAACATGATGAATTGAGAACATCAAAATCACTTCAGCAACTTCAATGATTATGCCAGATGTCCTCATTGCACATTCGAAAAATGTTCGCGTTTGTTCCGATGCATCACTTGTTTTTCATCCGTATTTCATGGTTACTCCTTATTTGACGCCTTTTTATGTTAATATCCAGTATCATCGTATTGATTTGTTTAATGTCAAACCACTTTAAAAATTTTCTTTCTTCTTAAATCTGAAAAATAAAATGAACAATTTCATTGCATTTTTCCTCATCATATTCTTTGCTTTCTTTAATATAATGATATAAGTCATACATTTATTCAAAAGTTTTAAACAATCAAATTGCTTGACACAAATGAAACACATGACTGAATGTATTTTTTTGGAAACTTATCACTCACTTTAGGACTGACAAAATGTGTATGTATCACATACTCAATCTGAAATATTCATTTTTTTACCTCTGATTTGTGTGTGATAAAGGTCTTACAAATACATGTGACTTACATTTTAAGCATAACGGGGTTTTCAAGTAGATATAATTTTATCTATTTGATTTATTGCAAGGATTGATAATAGATTTAGAATGTTATTTTTTATTCAAACAAATTGGAACCAGTCAAAACATCAATAAAGGATCATTATATGCAAGACAAACAAACATTAACAATACATATCATATGGATATATTAGAAATAATCTATAAAGTCTTATAACATGCTTAAAGTTATTATGTTTGTTTAAGTTTTAAAATTGTTTGTGTATAGTGCAATAAATGTAAAATTGTAATAATAATAAGGTTAGAGCAATTGAAATACAACAATTTAAATTATCGTTACAATTTTTTATTAAAATGCATGGCACACATTTGCATGTCAATGCAAGAGAGGCGCCTAAGCTGAAACAATATTTAAGAATCTTAATTAAATTCTTATGAAATAAAGGTAACAATTCTGTGATGATAATACAAATACAAAGAGGGAAATGTTATAATCAATGTAAACAAAACTATATAAATACCTGTTTAATTAACGAATTCCCAAGCACAACTCAATAACCTCTCGATAACTTCTTCCTTGAAGTTTCAATAGCCATTTTTCATTTTAATGTTTTGCTTATTAATTCGAATCGTCACTGTTATTCATTGTTATATTACCTTGTGTTAGTACACACACTTATACATTTTACATAACACATATGTTCTATTCCTTGATATATTTTCCATTTCAACCGAAACAGTCTGGGCTGCTACAAATCGCAGTTGTTGAGAGGTCATACTTCGGTTAAATCTGCCATTACATAAATGCTGAATTTGTTCGGAACATGAAAATACCAAAAGCACAATCGTATAATAGAAGATTTTTTCATCTTAAATATAGTTGGAATAATTAGACATAATTCTTATCGTTAATTTAGCACAAAAAGCATGTTTATTTTATCAAGATTAATTATGAATTATAATTATGACATAGTATAACAACTTTCCTTGTCTAGAAAAATACATAAATAAAATCATGTTAAGGTTAACGCATTTTTATCGAAATACCGGTATTGTGCTCGTTTCATGGAAAAACTGATTAATTGAATTCTTGTATTTTTAAAAACTCTTAACTTATTGATGAGTACCTGTATAACTTTTTTAATGTCTTGAAATATGCTGGAAATAATATTGTATTTAATATGATATTTAAAAAATATATATGTTATGTTGAGCGTTATCCTGTAACATTGCAATAGTGTGCACGCCTTTTGGTAATATATTATGGTTTTCAAAATTCGAGTATTAGTCATATGTACCTGCATATACTACATAAAAAATTATGGCATGTTTTTATTTTTGAATTATATTAAGTTTTCCCTTCGTTGATTATGCTCTGTATCATTCTGTTTAGCATAACGACAGCATATTATATTCACATTTTCGTTTATCTGTTTGCACGAACAGCAGACATATACATTTCTCTAACAAACCTTTTTCCTTATCATATCGGCTTCTTGTGCAAAAATTTCATCAAATTGTGTGTAATAAATATAATTGTTTTAGCCTTTAAGTTAAAGACTGTGTGGTGGAGGAAAGTAATATACTGTTTTAAAATGTTTTTAAATAATTGCACAATGCATAAGTAAGAAATACAAGCAAAATATTGTTAATATCAGAAAATACTATATATTATTTAAAAAATCTGTTTGGAGAATTCATGGTCAAATTTCGAAGGTATAAATATAAACAAACCTACTTGTATATTTAAAGAGGCATACCCTATTATTTTGGGTTTTTTAATTAAAACCAAACATAAACAGGACGAATGACTTTAAAAATACTCACAATACCTGAACTTTTCAGCCAAATATTCCATATATTAACAAAGATATCAATGAAATACCATTTCCGTTTTATCATCATCATTCGTGAAAAATTTAGATTTTATTCGTCAGCGTTTTATACTCGATAAATTACGGATATTTCCGTACATTTCCGTTTTGTAATCGGAAGATTCAGCAACAGTAAACATTTGACTCAGTAAAATGGTAAGAAAATTTGATTTGCGTTGTGTACAAGCTTTAAAACTTCTAAACTGGGCAGCAGATGGTATCTGCACATCGTTTACCATACAAATAATTTGTATAAATATTCTTTGAGCGTTAATAATATATAAACTATACGACTTGAGGCTCCTAAGGGGATATTGTTTACGTTTGTTAATGGGAGCTGGATGTTGTTTTTTAAATCTGCCATTTCGTCAAATACTTAATAATATAAGAGGCATCAAAGTATTTCGCAAATCGAACAGTTAGTCAAACTTGTAATATACGTACTCTATTCGATGAAAAGTATTTTCTGAAGAAAAAATCTCGCATTTACACATACATGTAGATTCTATTTCTGAATAAAAAATATCGGGTTATTTTAAGCAAAACAAAAAATAGTTTTTAGTGGGACACTTATATTTAAAGAAAAATATAGTGTTTGTGTAGTTTTCCAAAAGTTATTACAGGCACTGACCAATATATCAGACATTACCAGCTTGTGGCAGCCCCAGCTTGTTATAGTTTATGTTGGTCAAGCCTTGCCAAGAAGTAATAATATATCAAAGCAACATCATATTTATAGGACTATTACAGGCACTACATATGATAAATATGCAGATCCCCATCATATAAATAATCCTAAAATCATTTTTCATTACATTAACAAAGAAGTAGATCTATTTTAAACAATTTCAACAGCTTTTTTTGGCGTATCTGAAATACTAGGATAAATCCAGCTGTGCAGTGGTTATATTTTGTTAAACTGCTATTACTTTAAAATAATTATGATAGTTTGAAATGTATAAAAACAGTTTTGACTTTTTTAATAGGATACAGAGTCCAATACAAGCAGTGCATCAGGTCATAGTCTCAGGGGTGTATTTGGAGGTGGCGTTAGAGGAACAGGTCGTGGAAGGGGAGGTGGACGAGTTGGAAGGAGGGGGGGACGTGGTGGAAGGAGAGGTAGAAGAAGAGGATCTATTGGTGGAAGGGGTCAAGTTGCTCAAGGGTCAGGTACAGGTCAAGTTGCAAGAGGGCGAGGTGCAGGTCAAGGTGCAAGAGGTCGAGGTGCAGAAAGTCAAGCAGGGCGTGGTGTTGTGAGGCCAGCTGAAACGGAAGATGAGAGGAAAGAGAGAGTGAAGGTATGAAAAGAATAAAAAGAAATTGTTTTTCTTCAGGAAAATCTTCACTGAGATTTCATTTAACAGTGAGAAACAGTTCTTGGAATCTTTGTATTAATTTACATTGAAGACTGAAAATGCTATGAAAAAAGATAATTCCTGATGATTATATAATAATAATATATATATATAATGGAAAAGTAATTTACGGGTACTGATTTTATTTTTGGTTAAATACTCTGCTTTTACATGTAATTAATACTTCAGGGACTCGTGGAAAGTTTGGGAGGAGATGCAGCAAAGGAAATTCTTTGTATGGCAGTAGACCGCCAGCCAGGTCTTATTTTAGACATTCTGGACAGGATAGAGCCAGCCCAACCTGCAGGATTTCATCCCCAACCAGGAAGTCCTAGTCCTTCATGGTGCTGTTGTAGTAAGTGCAGGGACATGCCAACAGTGGAAGAAAGGGTGTGTTGTGGATACACTCCAGAGTATTGTTTAAGTCAATTGCCAGTAAGTAACTAATTTCAAAAGTAACTGATAAACATTATGAAAAAAAAATTCTAGATGAACAAATAAAGTTACATGTTTATAAATGGTTTTATGCACATACTGGATGTAAATAAACATTAGAGTGGTTACATATACATCTTTGGTAGTTCCAAGACGCTGCAAAGACAGGGTTTACTACATTTATTTTCTCTAAAACAAATTACTATCTATATAACTTTTTGTAAACCATATCATAAAATTTATTTAATTTCCAAACTGACATTTTGATATTGTGAAATGAAACAGCAATATTTGTTTCAGGACATGGAACAGTACATCTTAGATGAAGGAGTCCTTTCTTTGGCGCGCCTGTATCGTAGGGAGATATTGGTCTATCCGGATGAACGCGACCTTTGTAAAGCAAATAGACATGCAGCATACCGGCAGTTTACATTGTGGAGGCATGGGCGACTAGGGGAAGGTGTTCGGATGGTAATCCCATCATGTTGTGTGTGGACAATTAGGGACCGCTACCCTGACCCATATGCACAATACACAGGATTCAAAGCATCACGTTTAAGTTAAATTAGTTGCACATATACTGAACCAAAAAAGAAACTTTCGCAAAGTATGTGCCAGTTGTTCAAGGGTACCACTTAGATGTACACACATATGAGCCGCGTCACGACAAAACCAACATAGTGCGTTTGTGACCAGCATGGATCCAGACCAGCATGCGCATCCGCGCAGTCTGATCAGGATCCATGCTGTTCGCTATCAATTTCTCTACTTGTAATAGGGTTTGTAAGCGAACAACATGGATCCTTATCAGACTGTTTGGATGCGCAGGCTGGTCTGGATCCATGCTGGTTGCAAAGCCATTATGTTGGTTTTGTCATGACGCGGCTCATATATACATGTAGTAGTTTGTAAAACTCGTTTTGTTTGCAAAATCGGTCAGCTAATCCCCGTATAAAAGCCCGATATGGTTATTCAACGTAAAAATTGAGTTTCAAAAGGATTGTCAAACTTTACTTACATATCTTTATTCAAACTTGGAGGAAGTTTCTTTTTTGTTTCAGTATATATGAAAACTGTTACATTGGTCAAGGATATATTGTATGCTTTTTTGTCAGCTTTATAGAGCAGTGGTGACATGTATGGATCACTTTTCAGACGTCTGCCTGTCCATCCGTCACAAAACTTACCCGGACTACTCAGGTTTCATGCTAAATAGCTCTAGTTCTTTGGATTTTTTAATAAGATTTTTTGTTTGTTTTTTTACTACATACATATAAGGAAAATCAATGACCCTCCTGAGGCGGGACCAGTTTTTACTCAAGGGCTTATATTTGACCAAACTTGGTATACACCAACTGGAAGATGTTTAACGCTAAATATCTTGGGGTTTTTATGAGAAGATTTTTGGTTTGTTTTAACTATATACTTATATGGAAAATCAATGACCCCCCCATTGGCGGGGCCAAGTTTGACCCAAAGGATTATATTTGACCTAACGTGGTATACACCAACTAGAAAATGTTTAATGCCAAATAACTAAGCTCTAGCTCTTTGGGTTATTTTTATAAAAAGATTTTTTTAAGTTTTTACTACATACATATAAGAACAAGAGCGATCAGTGATCACATGTGTCGCCTAATGTTAGCCATAACTCAGCAAAAAATTAATTGACCTAAAAACCTGAATAATATGTGCAAGAATTTGAGGTACCAATCAATCCGGTAAACTGAAAAATGTTGATGAGATGCACAACTAGACATGGTATTGATCATTCCCCTAATCTTGTGATGAAATTGCACCAGTAGTTTCCGAGTAGTCCAGACAAAGTTCTGTGTAGCTGGCAACCCAAAAAAACACCTTTTTTTCAAGGGCAAGTTTTGTGAGGGATGGACAGACAGACGACAGAGAAGTGATCCCTTCACACATTATTTTTCAAGGGACTATACCCTACTTTTCAATGTGCCCATTGAAGTTCAATGATTACTTCTGTATGAATACATTTCTTGATGTTTCTATAGTTAATTTTGCCTAAACCAGGGGATGGTATCTTTCGCTTTCCACTACTAATATAAACAGGTTTTATCAATCTGGTTAACCTAGCGCCTAAAATGCTACATGTAAGAAATAAGTAAATTTTCACCAAGGTCAGTGGTTGGTCTAGGACTTTTGTAGATATAGCATCTTCATAAAAATGACAACTGCTCGTGGACAAATATTTAGAGACTTTGAAGAGATGTTTGAAAATATATTCTGTCACAGAGAACACTTGTTTGCATACACAGACAAATTTTAACAAAGTGAACACCATATGGATTATTCCACAAGTGGCAATTGTCGATTACAAAAGCTGATGTTTGTTATTTAAACATATTTTGTTTTTATTTGTTTGGGTCGTCAGACCAAATAAATAATGGTAGCGAAATTTCAGACCCTGATGCTGTTAATTGCAAATGCCGAAAGTAGTCCGCTTTTTTGAAGCGGTTACTTCCCTTTATATGTGTACTAACGCCGAAAAATTCAGGGGAGATCACTGCGTAAAGATGGTCAAATGACAGGCGCATTAATTTTCAAGCAAAATAGTTCCCGAATGGTCGAAGATTTCTAATATTGTTTTATTCTTTATAGATATACATGTTTATAGTAAGCTCCATGATTATTTACATCTGTGTTAAATAACAGTTAGCGTCGAAATAAGAAGGGTTACAAACCCTAATTTAGAATAATATGGTTTTCTTCAGGCCGTTAACATATAACTTCACCGTGGCGCTCGCTTAGGAAGCGAGAGGTCTGGAGTTCAAATCCCAGTTAAGGCAACTCATTTTTTTTTCAAATTGTTCAAGTCAAATTAACATTGAATTGAATATCAGTGTTGCAATTAGTCTTATAGCCAATTTACTACAGTTAAAACGCTGGAAAGCACTGGTGGCAGTATACAAAAACAAATTGGTTTATAATCTCACAGCCTTCACCTTTCTGACATTCTGACACCCAAACAAATTCAGCGCCTTCTGTGCTTTGATTTATATATTTTCTATTTACTCCATGCTTTTGTAGTGTTTTCAATCCTTTTGACAGGTCACAGTATGTACTTTGCTTCAAGACATAATTCAAAAATATCATCACAAAGTACATGTTTCTATAAAAAAATGGATATTTGTAACAATCTGAACTTATTTGCTTCTCCTAAATATATTTTATTTATTATGAAAGGTAATTTGGAAAAATTTCCATTCGTTTCGAGGTATATCTTTTTCAACAACATTAAAATATAGGCTTCAGTGAAATCATAGAAATGGACATTTTCACTATGAAATAAAAACAATCCATCTGAATAGTAGCTGAGAAACATGTAATAAAATGATATAGCTGAATAATGGCTTATGATTTTTGAAGATCACCACATTTATAGTGTCGACTTGTTTAGTCTTTTTTATGAGTAAATAAATAAAAATAAATTATCTTATCTTGGTATTTATTTTTCATAAAACAACATACAATATTTATGGCATGCTATGGTAGAATATTTTGTTACCTTGACAACAAATTAATTAACATTTCAATTACTTTCAAGCATAAGAGGTAATGTGGTTCACTCTAATTATGAGCATTATTTATCAAGTCATAGAATATTTTTTTGTCTGTATGAACTAGATTTTGACCATGGATGACATATGTTCAAGGTTGTGCTAGAAATCATCAAAACAACTGCTCAGGAAATTCTCTGATGAAAATATTACCTCTAGAATGCAAAAAAAAACAATATTCTTTTTTATAAATTGGTGTGTGACCTAGTTTATGACCCAAAATAACCCATATTCAAGCATGACATAGAATCCATCTTAACAACCTCCCTGACTAATTTCCAGGATATTTGGAACTATGCAGTATCCTTTACAGCATTAGCAAGTTTCTCCATTATTTGGGTCTGTCTGACCTAGTTTTTAGTTTATGATCCCAGATAACCTGAATTAGACCTTGCCCTAGAAATCATCAAAACAACCTTTCTGGCAAATTTCCTGGATGTTTGGACCAAAATGATATCCTCAGTGAGCATTACAGTACAGTTATTGTTGGGTTGTGTGACCTCGATTTTCACCCTAGATGACCCATATTTGAATTGGAGCCTGAAGTGTTCTAACCATTTCTAAGGAATTTTGCACTGAAACAGTTGCACCAAGAGTGTTAACAAGGTATTTCCACAAATTTGACCAGTTTATTCAATGAAATTAGAGCTGTCATTGATAAAAACAAAATAATACATGTATAAATATATTGATGAACAGAAAAAATTTTATACCAACAGCTATAATTTTGATACAATAAAATATCTGGAAATTCTGAAAATTCTCCCAAAATACATACTGGAGCAAGTCTCCATTTCTAAACTATTCTGTCAGTATTAGAAATATATCATAGCAGTGATGAGAAACTATAAGAGCCACTGTCTGGTGTATGTTTATCTGTCGTTTCAAAGCTAATCCTATTTATAAATGTTGTTTCAACTTCTCTAGTTTTATTACATAATAAATACTAGTATATATTTGGTCCTTTTATTATTTCGTGAATCGTGACACCTGCTCTTTTTTTAATTGATCTGTTGGAGGAGGAGCAACTTGTGAGATTGTTGATGAAATTCGTCTTGGGTCATCAGCTTTTAATACCACAGGTTTAAACATTGACCCTTTCTCTTCCATCCTCATCCTCAAAACCAACTCCATCAATCCCTTTCTATAGTCATATTTTTTCTGTTCCTTTACTGGTCTTATCAGCCATCTTGAACTTTTCTTGTTGAAAATTTTATGTACTCTGAAAAGGCAACACAAAAATGTCAACTGAGCGAAATCAAGGGACTTAGGTTATTATTTTACAAATAATAAGTAACAATAGAACATGTATAATAAACAGTGTGTATCTAAGCTCTAAACATTGTTTTTGTAAATAACAATAGACAGTGAAAGAAAGTCATTATTCTATCATTATAGCTCACCTGTTAAGGTGACCTAAAAATACAGCTATCATTCCTTACTCTAGTTATTGTCCGAAAACAATTTTTCTATTTCAATTTAGTGACTCTTGACCCAAGACGTTGAAATGCAATGCAAACTGGGGTTTCCATTTAATTTTGCTTACTACCAATCTTCATTAAAATAACTTGTTCCAAACTAAAGTTATCGTCCAGAAACCATGGATACCAACTAAAGAACTAACCATAAACCATCCGACCCCCACCATAAACTTTTGTTTGTTTTGGTATAAAACAATGGTCAAAAAGCAAGGTTCAAAAACATTGCTATCTATCATAGGAAAGTATTAAAGATATTGTAAGTCAGTAAACCCTCCCCTCATTAGTAAAAAAAGTACCAAGAAAGACAACGGTGCCAATTACCATTGACTTGAAATACTATATTGTCCCAAAAAATTATTTGTGTTGCATACCTCTCAGTTCCATCTTTATTAATAACTGAAGGTCTTTCAAGGTGGCTGTTATGGTCAATGGCAGCTATAAGATTTCTTGCTCTGTATACAGGTGGAATGTATGAAAATCTTTTTCCTGCATACATCAGTATAAGATTGTTGAAACCTTCCAATTCAGCAGTACTTCTGAAAAATTTCATTTTTTTTTCTATTTAAAATATACATAGCAAATAAATGTTGTTGTTTTTTGGTATGTTTTTTTCTTCTTCTTTTTTTTACCCTGTTTAACACAAAACATTTCAAATGAATGCCATTGGTAGTATACTTACAAATAAAACATTTTTGTTCCAATGAGCAGTTAGTAAAGTTCTATAAATAATTATGAAAGACTATGAAGAAAATAGTATGTTTTCAATAAACAAGATAGCTGTAGAAGCACATTTTCTGTAAGCTTTATATTCTAATTATAAATACTAAAACAAATGGTGATTTAGGTAAGTGTCACAAGTTTTGTTTGTTTGTTTCATTTTACGCCTTTTCCCAACAGTCATATAGGCGGGTAGTTTCCTAACCATCGTTCCTGGAGAGTAACACCAGTACTTGACAACCTTCCTCTGCGCTAAACTACCAAAGCATCTCCCGGGGATCGAACCCACGCCAGAGAGGTAACTGGATTAGAAGTCATCGACTCTAACCCCTCGACCACGGAGGCGGTCTAAGTGTCACAAGTGAAAGTCACAAACATGTCTACTACACACGTAATATTTTTTATGCAAAACATACATATAATGTAAATGCTCATGACTTCTTTAGGCCAAAAAATATATCTGAAATGCATTCAATTATCAATAAAAATTCTTTTTACAAAATGTAGAATGCAATTAACATTTTACCGAGCATTCAGAAAGTAAGGTATCTGCTTAAGAAATCTCTTGTCGGCTACAATCTGACGTAGAGCATTGTGTGCTGGACTGCCTTTACTTAGCCATTCTACCTCTCTTGGTTCAGTCAATGGACCATGTACACACTTTGTAATGTTACTCCCACAACCAAAGTTCCATTCATGTTCGTTGACTATGTGGTGCAACAATCCAAACCATATTCCCTATATAAGAAAAAAATATTATAGTTATAGTAAGAACACAATGAAAACCCTATCAATATGCTGAATCTGTGGAATAAGAAAAGTTTAAAATAAAATTTAAGGGCATATTACATTCTGTAAGTGTTACAAGCTAATTGTCTCCGACCAGGTATGGTGATTTGTTATTAATAATGCAAAATAAAATTTGTACATCTAAAAGTTGCATATTAACATGTATCTGCAGGATTGCTGCTAATATTGGTCTAATATTGACAAGATAACATATTATGTTTGTAAAAAATGTATGCCTATCGGCAGCCAATTAGTCATGTGATCAGTTTATTATGACAGACTTTTGATCTTGTGACCAAAAAATCAATAAGGGTTATTACTGGTCATGACGAGTCACTAGGTAATTGTTACCGCAAAGGTTGTGTGCAGCAATTTATAACAAAGCTATTTCAAATCTTACCAAATAATATATGCATAAATTTAATGAATCATGTAGGCCTCATTAATGACAGCAAAGTTGTTATATTACATAAGACCTTCAAATGTGTATACCAAAAGCATTTTTAGTTAAAAAATATCAACCAAGGCAACTTGAGTTGTTGAGTTATTGGCCAGAAACAGTCTTTACATACAAGGTCAATTACAATATGACATTGACCTTTGACCCTAAATAAATAGGGGTTTCTACTGGCCAAGACCAATGCACCTGTAAAGTTTGAAGGTAAAGGGCCCATGAGTTGGGATATTGTTCAGAAAGGGTTGTTACCTATAAGTCAATGTGATCTTGACCTCTGACCCCTTAATGCCAAAAAATCTATTGAGGTCATCTTATGACCAAAAGCAATAAATCTGTAAAGCTTGAAGGTCGAAGGACCAGGGGTTGTCCAGTTACTGATAGAAAACCATTTTGAAATACAAGGTCAATGCAACCTTGACCTTTGACCCCTTGACCCCAAAATCAATAGGGGTCTTGTGCTTGTCATGAACAATCATCATACCAAGTTTGAAGTTCCTAGGCCTAAGCGTTCTTTAGTTATCACTCAGAAACTGTTTTTCCTACAAGGTCAATGTGACCTATGAACCCTTGACCCTAAAATCAACAGGGGTCATCTTCTGGTCATGAACAATCATCATACCAAGTTTAAAGTTCCTAGGCATAAGCTTTCTTTAGTTATCACTCGGAAACTGGTGTGACCCACAGGGTCTATGTGACTTTGACCCATTGACCCCAAAATCAATAGGGCTTATCTACTGACCATGAACAAGCATCATAATTTTATCAAGTTTGAAGTTTCTAGTCCTAAGCATTTTTTAGTTATCACTCAGAAACCATTTGGTCTACAGAACAAGAGACCAACCGACAGACAAATGCAAAGCAATATACCCCCACTACTTTGAAGGAGGCATAAATAATGTATATTTCGAGTTAAAATATTTTTCATGGGTTGTACTGCCAAGTATAAATGGTTGCGAATTGCTACGATGGTTATGGTCAAGCAACAGCTGTTAGTTATTTAACCACTATTTCTATAATAATATACACAGCCATATAATTTAATTTTTTTTATAACGATATAAAACTGAACATTTCATTTATTTTTGAAGAAAATACACATCAGAATAATCCAATGAAGTATTTGTTAAAATGCAGGATCATATAATAATATATATGTGCTTACTGTGAACTCTTCAACGTCTCTGGCACTATCACAAGTATGGTAAAAGTGGTTGACAATGTGTCTACACCAGCCCTTTAGACCACCACATTGTTTCTGCTGTCCAGCCTAGATGTACAAACATATATTATATATACATATATATACAATAATACACTAGTATACATGTATATTGAGGGAATATTGTATATGGTTGAGTACAATATTGAATTTATTTGCTGTCATTAGTTCACAGCTGTTAAAGCTATATAGTATGAGGTGTTTGTCTAGTCTAATATAGATATTATAGTTGTGTATAAGCCAAATAGAATCAATTTGTACAGGACAATGTATATTGACCTTGTTATCATACACTTCTATTTTTTCTTTCAATCTGACATAAGTTATTTACTCAAAGTATGATAAGCTAGTGATTTGATATGATTTTTATGGACTAGTAAAATATAAGAACAGGGCTAAATCAATAAAACTGGATTCAATAATAGTTTGTATTTGGAGAGAGATCAAATGATGCAAATGGTGTACATTCATTGGCTCTATTTATAGGTATGAAATTATTTTCACACACCCATGCCGATTTTGCGACTCCGTAAATATGGTATTGCACGGCCGTGCATATATTTTGACGTGGCATCATTAGCATTATACAAACATAGTGTAAAGACGCAATGGCTCTTATTTCACTTTAAACGGTCTTTATTTTGGGTATGTGATAAATAGAATATTAAATTCGTATAAGTTCATTACTGAATTTATCTCACTCGTTGAATAAAATAATATTATGCTCGCCAGAGGCTTGCATAATATAATTTTATTCAACTTGTTCAATAAATTCAGTATTGAACTTACACTCATTCAATATCCTCTATATACATAATAATAATAATATTAATATACAGACAAAATCCGATTTTAATGATATTGTAATGCGAAATGAGAACAAATTGATATACTATTGATATACCTAACAGTTGTATTGTAACAAGTTTTGGAGAATTTTATCTCAATATCCGATTTTTTTTCAAAAACTATATAACTTCACTATAAGTATTTGCGCTCTAAATATTTATTCTTCAGTTGCAATATTTCTTCTTTAACAATAGATTAATGATACTCTTGTCAGAACATCACGCTATAAATGCAGCAAGCAGAATGACCTACCTTCATTATCTTTTTTGCGAGATTCTTGGCCACATGCCATATATCAAATGAATGTTGAATTTGGGGATATTCATTTCCTGAAAAAAGTAAAGTGCCAATTAAACAGGGATACCTAAATTCTAATAAAATAATTTGTGCAATTATGTTCTTCAATAGTTTACAGTTTTACATAAATATCTTCCAACTACATAAAATTAAAACCGGATAGACAGGATAAGCATTTAAAATATCTCTTTCCAGATTTCTGGAAATGTTCAATTATTAATATAAATTCTGATAAAATGAATGTCACATATTGATAAAAAAGAATAACAAAAAACATACTCAGGTAAGCCGCTATTGATGTATGGGCATCTGTAACAACTTCACCCACTTTCACATTTTCTGTATCCAGGTGATGAAGTGTTCTGACAAATGCCTCCTTTTCCATCCGAACACTTGACTTGCCTGTCTCCCTCTTGTCCACAGTCACAACTGACAATATTTGTTTTGTGTTATTATCCATGACTGTGTATGTGCAATACTGTGCACAGTGTCCAGGCGAGTCCATTCTTCCATCACCTGAAAAATATAGACTGAGGTATTTTAAAACAGAAAAGTAAAAACAGTCTAATCTGTGTGTAATACTGTCTAACAGTTCTCTGTGCCCAAATTACTGATGTAAAGTAATGGTCGACAAAGATCACTTCTGGTTAATTCTATAGTGGCTTTGAAATGAAGATTTGACTGTAAAGTAAATATGAGTAAATGCAGATCAAAACTTAATAATTTATCATAGACAAAAAGAAATATGTCAGTCATCACATATATTTGCTATGATCATTCAGTGTATCTTTGGTGACATGGGACTCCTTTTATAACTGTACATGTATCAATTTATTTCCTACCATACAGATAACACATTATTTCTAAAAACTGTTAAAACAAAATATAGCTGATATTTATATGTACCTAAAATCACAATTTCCTCTCCTCTCTTTGTCTCAAGAATATTTTCTACATGACTAGACCAAAATGTCTCAACAGCTGGAACCAAGTAGGTTGTCTGGAACCTTGAATAGGAGCTTGAACTGACCATTGCAAGATTCAGGAACTTGGCAAACAGTGAAATTTTCTGAAAATTATTGCCAGAAAAAAGCACTGCAGAAGATACCATCAAGTCTCCACTGTGAACCCCTCCTCTTAACAATGGCTGGGAACACCAACTAAAACTGACATGTCCATCTTCACAAACCTGAAAAAAATCTGTTACATTTATATGCTGTTGAAGACTAGTTATTTTACTAAGAAGAATGCCTGCATTTATTACATGCTTTGCAGTAGACAGTGAAATCATATTTGATAATTTTCACTGTAGCCAGACAATATCTGAATGCGGATGAAAATAGTATTTCATAACTAAAAGGAATTTTTAACAGGAATAAATTCTCTCTTATGTTTATTTTGCTTCTTTAGGAGAAGCAAGTAAATAACTGCATATTGTGTTTAAAATTTAACAAAATTCAAGAAATTTTACAGAACTATATTTCAACATTGGTATGGTGATGTCATGATGTGATGATCCCAGGAAAAAGAACACATGACGTTAAGTAAAAACGAGTCAAAATGACTTTCAATCTCTAAAAAGGCATGAAATAAATAGAATATTTGTTTGTTTTGCACATAAGATTGAAATACATTTCACTCATGAAAACCACCTATTATATTTTCAGGAGTGGCTGCCACTCGTGAAAATATTACAACTGGTGTCCACTCAGTGAAATTTATTTGATCTTACATGCAAAACAAATATCCTCTATGTAGTAATAAAAAATAATTTTCTAAACATAACAAGACTTTACTTTTATCATAACTATTTGCCGCAAGCCTATAATTTGAACAGATCTACATGCATTTTACTTGCTGTTCTGCTCCTGTTTAGACCAGAAATGACAAAATTGTTATAACAGCTCATTATAAATATTCTTTACATGCAGCGTTATCAATATGATAAAAAATACACAATATGTAAATTTCAGTTTTTAAACTCTTTCTAACTAAAATAGAAAACAGACCCATTTGAAATAAACAGCTGAGCCTCTGATTTTTTTCTGAAAGTCCACTGGCTTGCTACAAGAATTACATGTATCCTTCACAGACATACGGGACAATGTCAGTAAAGCCTCTCCACTGCACAGAAACATCTGTTCGTCTGACAACTTTGCCGCTTCATCTGATGTCTGCATTCTTTTCACACCTTCAACATCTGGTTCCTCTTCAACATCATCTTCCTTCTCCTCAGAAAAAAATTCTTCAGCAAAGGAAGCTTCAGAAATATTTTCATTTACTGGTCTGGAATGAAAATGTTCTCTTGTAACCCTTTATAAATTTTAAAATAACTTTTCTTTTGTCAACTCTGTCTCACCTAATATTGTAATATGAATATATATGTAAATTTATACATAATTTTTAATGACATTCAGGTCCTGTATAAACACATTTATCTAAAAGCTCCAAACTTTCAGACATTGAATATGGGGTTCAAATTTAAAACATTTCGTGTGTAGGAAATTATTGAATATTGATTCCATATACACTCTTACACCACTTGGTCACCATATAAATGTGTTTCAAACAAACAAATATTCATGTTCAATGCCTTAAGCCTTTGCCTGGGAACAGATGTAAACATTACTTTTGATTCTAAAATCTCAACTTCATTTATTTACTAATTTTCACACCAAGACAATAAAATATAGAAAATTGGATATATTTCTTACAATGATTTATAAACTGTTATAAAACTCAAAGGCACATTAATATAAAATTATGTCTCCAAATTCAATAACTCTTAAGAAACGTCCAATATGTTAAATGACTGCAGAAAGGAGTGCTGAAATTACAGTGATTTGTTGTAAAGTACAGCAAAATGTAAACACATAAGTATTTTGACTTCAATACAAAATACCAACTCTCTTTAACTACACCGACTGCCAATGAGCAAAAAAAAATTGTAATTATATCTGGAAACTTTTTACAATTTACAAAAAAATTAAAGATTTTGAAAAAGAAAAGAAAGCGTTTTGAAGAATTAATGGGCCTTTAAATATCAAAGTTTTAGTCACTGTATAGAGTTAAATATTTTACCCAATGAATATGTCAAAGCTAGGTTCATAATCTTCATCTTCGTCTATTTCTGGCTCACTGTTGGACTCCTCATAAACATCTATGCTAAGTCTAAAATTAAGAATGAAATTAGAAATTTTATCATAGACACTAATGAGCATGGCTTCTGGGATATTTCCTTTCAACTTTGAAATGATTACTGAATTTTTACATGTCATAATAAGTTATAATTATCATATCAAATACTTGAATATGAAACAGTTTCTAGAAATGCTTACTCAAAGGGATCCATGAAACTTGTGCTATATCCAGGTGGTACCTTCTTCTCTGGAGAATAATGTCTTGGACTGGAAAATATTTTATCATTTGTTTTTAAATTATAACAATCTGAAAAGAAACATGTTTTATAAAACTGCTTTATATATATATATATTTTAGCTGAAAGTGTTAAATCAGATAATGATTTATGTATTTCACATTAGTAAGTTTGGTAGTCAGTTCTGTAAAGAAACAAACTGTGTTTACATTTTCAACAAAATTTAACTAAACCTTGTTCCATTTTTGGAACTGTCCATTAGTCATGATGAAAATATAAGTTAGTCAGAATAAAATACAAAGCCTGATGATACTTCATACATGTGTTGGTTGGCCACACTATATACTGTGGGCAAAGGCTAATCACTTTCTGTGGTAAAGGTAAACGAAAATGCAGATATAAGTCAAAAACCTGTCATACTTTTGATTTAAACATGGAATAAATTCAAGTTTATAAATTATTTACCTGTCAGATGCACTTGCATGACTACTTGATGCCAAGGGCTCAACACCAGATATTGAAGATCTACAAGAAAAAAAAACACCAACTATATTTTTCTGCTTAGTTTACCATAATGTCAGTGTTGCATCTAGGCTGCGTGATTTGCGCATATTTTATGCACAACAAGCATTGTATCTTGAACGCTTCAGCCATGTTTGTATTCACTTGCGGTTATGACTAAAATACCAACTTAATCGCGTGTAGCAGCCGACTGGATCATCTCGCATGTGTTTTGTAATATTTGTCAATATTTTATTTTTTCTATTTCATTTTTGAGCAGACGATAGCTGTCAAAAAATGCCTGAACATAAAATAAATGATTTTTTGGTATGTCATATTGTAAGGTAAATGTATGTCCCCAACATTTTTTTCAAATCCCCCATATTCTTGAATTTAGTAGGGGACAATCCCCCATTATTTTGAAATTCTAGATGCAACACTGCCATATAATTTCTTATTTCACTTTTGTAAACAAATTCACAAACAGTCTTTTAAAATCATAATTTGCAACAAATTTGCCTAACTGCCCTTATTTATTTAAGTAATAATTACACTTGATTTTTTCACAGTATATAGATAATAACAGACTATGCAGTTCTAACTTCTTGTGACTTTGAAAACAAATACAAATAAAATTCAAATTTGAACTGGACATTTGTTCTTAGGGCACTTATGCTCCCAATTTTCACAGTCTTGTCAGTTGAAGGGGGCAGACTATGTGACTGACAGACAAGGATGACAAAACATACAACTGTGAATACAACACGAGTTATTTTACTGTTAACTTACTCAGCTGATGATTCATATTGCTGTTCTTTCAGCAGCTGAAGTCTATGTGATGCTGCTGGTGTTGATGTATAGCTAGGTAGAGCCATTTTCTTTCTATATGCAGTTTCAACCTTTGATGGCCCTGGTTGTTGTTCAATGCTACCTCCTGCCACTGGTCCTGGTCCATAATACCTGAAAGAAGTTACCCACAGTATTGATTTGTATATGTAAAATAGCACTAAAATGATGCATAAGATGTATGATGAAAATGTACCAACTTCCATATTGTGAAGTAAGTCTAATGGTAATTGGAAAGTAATTTAAAATTCAATTGTAAGGCAGATTATACACAGAAAGCATTAATTAACTAGAGGATGCTTTTGTAAAAAAGCGCATGTCTCCCCACTGCTGAGAATAACTGTGAATGGAAACAGGAATGGAAATGGAGATAAGATAATGTAAATACCCGGTAGTCACTTCAATGAAGGCTGTCTATGGATGGTTTCTATTGTTAAGGTTGTATGAGAAGATGCTTCCTATGAAGTTTGAGGGTTGTAGGTCAAAAGGAACTCTAGTTATCATCCGGAAATGAGAAATTGACCAACGGTCACTGTGACCTTGACCTTTGACCTACTGACCCCAAAAACAATAGGGATCATCTGCTCTATAAGACCAATCATCCTATGAAGTTTGAGGGCTGTAGGTCAAAAGGAACTCTAGTTATCATCCGGAAACGAGAAATTGACCAACGGTCACTGTGACCTTGACCTTTGAACTACTGACCCCAAAAACAATAGGGATCATCTGCTCAATAAGACCAATCATCCTATGAAGTTTGAGGTCTGTAGGTCTAAAGGAACTCTAGTTATCATCCGGAAACGAGAAATTGACCAATGGTCAGTGTGACCTTGACCTTTGACCTACTGACCCCAAAAACAATAGGGATCATCAGCTCTATAAGACCAATCATCCTATGAAGTTTGAGGGCTGTAGGTCAAAAGGAACTCTAGTTATCGTCCGGAAACGAAGAATGGACGGACTGACGGACTGACGGACGGACGGACTGACGGACGGACAGGGCAAAAACAATATGTCTCCCCCCGAGGTGGGGGAGACATAATAACTAAGGATTGATTGTATCTATATGAATGGCCAACTTATAAGTGTATATTGGCTAATTATATGTGACTCATGTATTGCTAGAACTTTTGCCAGAAGTTTGGATCTGCAAGTCTGGTAACTTCTTAATTTGAATAATCAAAACATCTGACTTTCTTATAATATTGTGAGCTACTGCTAGGTGACCTGATCAGGTCGTATGTGTTTCATCTTGTTTACAGACAATATCATGAATGTGTGGTGTAAATTTATAGATAGTCTAAACAACCCGCAGTTGATACACTATCTAAAAATCCTGCTAATGATATTTAATGGTTCAATAATGTTTTTTTATAGATATGCTGATACTCAATTAAACAATTTAACATTTGCGCAACAACTTACACTGTTGTCTTAATCATTGGTAAGTCTAGGCACAGAGGCCAGTTTTTTTTTCTATATATAACTTATGCGGGAAAACGGCACAATTGACTCCCAAACAGAAAATTAACAACAAATTTCCCAATTCATGACTGATAAATTCACAAAATAACATTGAAAATTTCCTCAAAAGAAATGGGTAAATACAACAGTTATGGATGCTTCCATATTGACAAGTGTATTTTTGTTATTAACGATAAAAACCATGTATGTATTACCACATGAGTGATTTTCGTACCCAATTTTCAAAGGTGACCACCAAAGGAACATTCCTGTGAAGTTTGGTTGCAATTGGCCATGCGGTTTAGGAGATGTTGTTTGAAAAGTTTGACACCATTTTTTGAAGGCCACACGACACACGACGGACGCAGAGTGATGACAAAAGCTCGCCCTTGAGCACTTTGTGAGCAATCTGTGAATAACAAAACTACACAAAAATTTCCCCGTTGGAGCCTCATTATTGAGCTGCTGATACGTGTGGCTTTTAAGTAGATTTTACTTTGCACAATACATTTTACTTTGTAGAAAATATACTATACTAGCTTAAAATAGACTAAAAGGATCGCATCCTCTTAATAGCGAGCTCGACGAGCTGGCCCGAAGGGCCTGCTCGCAAAGCGAGCTTTACGGTAACGCGAGTACCTGCTAAGTGATGGTTTTGAAAACTTTCGTCCAAAGTAACGAATTTGACACATCGCAACCTTTCGAATTTAAAGATAACGATAAAAACTGAGGAATTCTGACTGAAAACGGATGTGTAGACTGGTCACCCGCGCGCGTCTATGGGAACCATAATTAGACAGGAAACCAGAATAACGGAAGCTGTGAAATATCGAAGAAAATTGAAGGCGCCATTTTGTTTGAAAAATCTGATAAATTAAAACAATTTTTTGTCGAATTTTGTTGTGAAAACTATCGAGAATGAAATAAAATGGTCTAACTAAGAAAATGAATCCGAACACCAATATCTTTTATTCAGTCGTTAACGCTGTACAGACGTTTAAAGTATTGTTTACGTGACGTCACATTGTAGCGCCAAACAGCACCTAATGCATTACCTCCACTTTGAAGAGTACTCAAATAGACTAGAACTACTGTCAACCGCATTGAAACTGAGGGGCGCGGGTTCAAGCCCCAGAAGAGGCAACTTTTTTTTTCTTTCTTTTTTTTCTTTGAACATTTTTTGTGTCTCTCAGATCACTCTTGATAAGAAAAAAGTGTTTCATTTTAATTATAAAATTATTATTGGTATCTTTTGGCTAAATTGTGCCAAATTTATTATCAAATATGGTACCTGATATTTTCAAAGTCTAATAAAATAAAAACTAGACGGTAAAAATATTTTATATTTGACAAGCGCCTCCAATATTCTTTTAAGAAAATTTATGCAAACTTTGAAAACAGCCCCTGATTTGAGAAAATTTTAGGGATATTTTGAATTAGGCCCTCCAAGTAGAAAAATGATCAAACAACTACTTAAATGGGTGGGGTAGGGTAACATTTATATACATATTTACATATTTTAAACATTTTGAGTAGAAACAATAATTTTGCTGGGTCATTTGTTAGCTGAATGCTATTATTTGTTTCTAAAATATTTTCTATAGGAAAACATTATTACATAATTATTATATAATAGAATAATTAGAGTTTCTCATTGCTGAAAAAGAGCCCTTCTATTAGCCAAGTTTTACTTTAGAAAAATCTTCATAACTCGTAAAACATACGGTAAACTTTGTTTAAATTTTGCATTCTTGTGTCTTTAAAGGTATATAACTGACCTATGTTGTCAATTTTATAGTTCCTTATAGTGCTCATTAGGGGTCTCATACCTTAATGTCGCAAACATTTTAAGTTTTACGTTTATTTCACTTTTAATAATCTTTATTTCGCTTGAAAAATTATAGAGTGAAATAAAATAAACAAAGTTTTATCAACGTTTTTTAAAACTCGTTATTCATTTAACGACAGGGGCGGAGCCATATCTAACACAGTACGTGTAACGTCACACGCACTCGTCACTGCATTTGAAATAAAAATGAGCGATTATTTCATACTATTTCACGTTAAAAGTACATCGAGCTCGCTTTGAGGCTTTGCCTTTTTCATATTAAGACACTTCAACATGTTCAAAAGTTAACTTACTTCAATACTTGTCCAACAATACTTTCGCTACCTCTGCGTTCGTTTTAGCATCTATGTCTGTTTTTAAGGCATTCCAACGGTCTATCTGTTCTCCTATAACAATTCTTGAACGATTAATTGAGATTTGAGTTGCTTTCTTTCGTCGTTTTTTTGTTGAACTTGAAACCTTTGGTCGTCCGGCCGATAATCGTGGTACTTTCATTGGCGTCGCCATCTTGTTTCTGATTTTGAAACGGACTCGCTGCGCGCATGCTCGTATGTTTCCGTATCATTCGTTAAATCTGACGGAGTTGTTGTTGTAGTATTTATGGGTGGAAGCGATTTATTATAGACCGTTTAAAAAAATGACCTTTTATGTCAAAATTAGGCGTTTTTCAACACATGTTCTTCTTTAAGTTATCAATATTTTCTTTATTTACATACAAATAGCCAAAATTTAATAGTTGCAAAGAAAAGTCTAACGATTTTAGGGTATGCCTCTTTAACCGACAATGAATATAGAAAATATTCACTGGTTTTGTAGTTTATTGACATTAACAAATAAATAATTAAATCATCATTCTATGTCGGCTTCTTATTTATAATTAACGTCTGATTTAGGCAAAAATGCTAAATTTCATCTAGCAAATCTTATTGGTATTGGTATATCGGTACTGTACATATTATAATATTATGTAAACTGAAAGAAAGGGACACAGTTTATATATTGAAGGAAAAGTTGTTATCTGCCTTACAACTTCATCCAAAAATATTTGCAAAAATATAACATAAAGATATTAATACCTGTTTAAACTAGGAGACCCTATTTAACTACATGTAGTTCCGAAGCATGTATTTTTAATGACAGGATTTCTGTCAATGGACACTTTTCCATGTGTTCTCATCAGAAATAAAATGTTATTTGATAATGGAATTAATGAAAGAGTGTGTAAAAAAAGTGTGCCAACAACTTTGTTGAAATAAACATATTTTGAAGTAAAAGCATAATCATTTATTTAAAAAGCTAGTAAAAGCATAATCATTTATTTAAAAAGCACTAACTGTTTAAAATAGTAGGATCGAGTCTTTAAGATACGCTATGCTCTTATTCATGGAAAGCACATCTACGTGTAGTGTAATTAATATACATTTAACCTCTGAAAACTAAATGATAAGATAACATGCAGAAGAAAGAACAAAAAAATATCGATTTCTATGTCAGTGTTAACAGTTATTATTTGATCTAAAAATTTTTGTTAACATATCTGTTCTATGGATAAAATCTGGGACAGAAGATCGTTCTGTCCCAGATAAAATAAACAGTAAATAATAAGATTATCTATAGAAAGTATTTATCACTAATGGGACTGGAATAAATATTGTTCGAGCACAATCGCAAAACAAAAACTTATTTTTTATCTTGACCATGTCACGATTTTGTGATACGTACGGCCAACTGGGCAGGTCCTAGGGCTTGAGGGGGGATACTCCGAAGAACAAATTTTCGTTCAGCGATGCTCCAAGAAGCGTTTTCCGGTGTATTTTGCACCGTTTAAAATCTGCAACTAGTGAATATTATTTTGGCATATGTAAATAAGTTTTTACAACGATCGGTGCATCATAAACTTAATTAAGGGTGAAAGGTTGACTTTTAAAGATCGCATATCGTAAGGACAGTTGTCATATATTACGTGCAAGAACAGAAGTACGAAGATTGTGTTCACACGATGGTTAAAGCTAATCAATGGTCGATCATATGTGGTTCAAACAGTACATTATAAGTCAATCACTTTCGTTTAGCAATTGTTTGTATTTTGTTCAAACTAATTTATTTACAGCAATGTACTTGTATTTTGTTCGCAAGAGTTTATCTTACACAGCGCAGAGTCTGAGTTCATGTTATTTTTTTCAAAACACATTGCCGTCGTTTTCTGGTAGTATTGAACTCCCCTCGGCCATAACTGAACCATGTAAGTTTAGTAAAACTGCCGTGTATACGCAATTTAATGATAAGATTGTTCAAAGGCAGGTAGATGTACTTATTCTTGTACTCTTCGTAGGTAATATTACAAATGGTTTGTTGGAAATATTACAAATGGTTTGTTATGTGCACCGGAACTGGTAAACCTCCGGAACTCGTGAAAACAATCAGAATAAATGAAGCGGTGTTCTTATCAGAAAAAAAGGTTTGAAGTGGAATCAAATATCTACTACTAGCAAGTACATTTGGTCTTGAAACAATTTGTTAATTTGTATGCAGACAGCGAAAGTTGAAAGTCTGTGTCGGAACCGGTAAAACAACTGTACGTATTTTAATGTCTATTTGAATACAAACATTTTTGATGTGAACATTTGTACAAATAAATTTTATATAAAACAAAACAAAAGAAAAAGAAGAAAAAAAGAAAACGTGTTAATCATTAATTTTTTTATCACGGTCATTGGTCAAAACTAGACTTTTTACATTTCACGGACATATCGTATGCTTGTACCGCGAGTGTTATTGCATTCATGAATCCATAACACATTAATTTCAAGTACGAAAATATATAAAAGAAATTCTGTAAAATTATTCTAAACACCCCATAAGGTGCCCCATAATAAAAATAGCCTTCTATACGGGAAACAACCTACTGTTAGAATATAGACTATAAAAAAAAGTGTTGCCTCCCTTGGTTCGAAGAAAATTGCCGCGGGTTTCCTATTTCTGTCATTTTTGCTTTTATTTCAAGATTTGTTAATTAAAAATGTCAACAACACATAACTCTAGCTTATATTTATTGACTATTATGAATGATTATTAGCGACTTTTGAAATGTCGTCTGTATTCGCTGGCAAAGGGGGCAAACTTGTCTTAATTTGTGCCTAATGGAGTTATCCTTTGCGCATGCGCAAAAGTAGCACGTGAAATCCCTCATGCGAAAAATGTAAACACACCTGTTTGTAAAATATAAAGGTGAGAACGATTATGTTTAATGTTTATTTTAGACTGAAGAAATTCTGTCGAACGTTTCCTTGAATAATATTGTTCTGAAAAAAACTCACCTTCAGTTTTGAAGAGTTTCAGTAAACGAAAATAACCGTATTGTCGGATACTATCCCGGGACAACCAATATTCAATCAGTTAAGCTGTTTTTAGCCAATAATAAATGGAAGGGGAAATTATACTTTAAATTTATTTTAGCTATTAATGCATCTATTAACACTTATTCATTTTCAGGTTGGTACATTTTCAACAAGTCTTGATCTTTCTTAGAAAATCAATAAAAACTATATGACCCACTCCGGTTACTCCCAGGAATATTTTAACCTAAATTCAAACAGCAGGGTAATCACCATGGAAAATTTGTTAAAGATAAATCAGGGCCACTAAAAATTGTAGAAAATTTCACAATAGTCTATTCAACGATTTTCAACAGTTTTTTTTTCAAGATTTTAAAAACTTACACTTAATGTTATAACATATGTACAGCACAATGCATTGGTATGACTACTGTTAATGTGTATAAAAGGCAATTAACAGTGTCACTTCTTAGTACGCTATTTGGGGTGCAAAATGATAAATGCATCTAATCTTTACAGCCATTTTACCTTCCCCACTTTATAATATTAGCAAATATGGAAACTTGTCTAGATCTGCCAGCTCATATCGCTTACAAAACAATTATTCTACAATCATCACATGAAAAAATTTGATAACAATATAAGATTTTATTAATAAGGACCCCCATGTAAGGTCTGATGAATATTTAGTGGTACATCATATAAATAAATGTTTTATATACACCTAGGACTGAGGTAAATAGTAAAACTCTTCAGCCAATTCTTTATAAAAAAATTTACCTTGCTTAGAAAATTTTTACCGCTATTTTAAACAAGTGACTATATTGATATAGTGAAAGTTGGACAATTTATATTGTGTAACTTAAAACAAACAGTTTCTTATTGTTTTTCTGAAAACATCTGACAATTAATCAAGTGGGGCATTTCTTCAAGTTTTGAAGTTAAAACAACATGTGACTTTATGCAATTTAGTCAGGCATGACATCAGTGCCACATAATTAAGAATGTGTTTGAATTTAGGTTGTGATTGAAAATTGGTTGTTTCGGGATACTAGCCGACGGATACTGCTTCGATACCAGTATACCCAGAATGAATATTAAAATAATAAATCAGACTTAAAAATTTTGGCTGTGTACTTACTTAGTTTAAGTATTAGCTCGCAAAAATAGTCAAATTCTACGTAGGTAATATTACAAATGGTATTTGTAACGTTATGTGCACCGGACCTTGCTTCGGAAATGTGAAACCAACCAGATTCAATCAAGCAGTATTCTTACTAATAAAAGAAAGATAATATACAAAATGTATTTTCCGATAATTGTTAGGTTTGAAGTCGAATCAAATATTAACTAGCTAGCAGGTACATTTTTTAAACCAACTATTCGGAACCGGTAAAACAACAGTATCACATTTTTATAAGATTTATTTTATAACAAAGTAAAATATACATTGTATTTTTTTACACCAAAACAAAATGCTGAGGCCATTATCATACTTAATTTTATTGCATTAAGAACACATAAATTTACGGAAACGCTATATAATTTTATGTAAATCATTATATAATACATTTTACCATTGAGTTTTTTTAGTTCATATAGAAAAACAATCAAAACAAAATCTATTATTTATAAGTCCAAAGTTTTCATGCTATTTTTGCCTCATCATTTAGAAAATTAGAAATATATATAGCCATAGAGGGAAAATACATTTTACTGCTAAGGTAGCACTCCACAGTTAATTTCAAGTTCCTGCCGTCAATGTCCTACAAGCAATACGTCTAATAATTCTGATACCAAACTACACAACCTGGAAAAAGAAAACACATTTTGTTGAGAACATATATGACATAAGATTGCAAATCTACAAAGAAATTATCCCATCTGCAATAGGCAGGCAGTCAAAAAATTTGCAATTCATTCCGTTGAAGCCCAAAATCTACAGTGGCCCGAGACCCAAAACAACACATTTCGACCCTCTGGCAAAAAATATCTGCAAATATACAGGCTAAAGGAACACCGTCTCTGCTTTAGCAACTCCCTATACATGCAAAATATCACAAAGAAACTAGTCCTCAACCTTGTAGATTTTTTGCTACTGCTAAAAGTTTGTACCCCCTGTAAAATGACTTCTTTTTACCGTGCATGCTGTATAAAAGCAATGTTTACAAAAAATGGCGGCCTTGACATTCATAATCAACAGCATGTGATTTCTGGCCATGTTTTCGAATTTGCCAGTGATCATATTAGATGTCACAAAAACAAATTTTATGCTGAAAATGCATTTTAAAGACAACCAGTCATTTAAATCCAGAATATTCACTATATCCAAGAAATCCTGGCCATTCGAAGCTGTGGCTTACATTACTGTGGTGTGCTACCTTAGTGCAAACTCCTCACAGCGGTTACGTCACGCTTTGCTACTTTAACCACTGCCACCACAAAAATCACGTGATGATGCTCTTATCACATGATTGTGTCAAAATGGCGGATACTCCAAAAAAGTTGTTAAAAAATTGTTTTATTTGCTCTAAACAACGTCATTATAACTTGACTTCTGGTGTAAAGTCTAAAGATATTCTTGAAAAAATATCGTTTTTGTTAAAGAAGAATTTTAGTGCAGTTGTAGAGGCGAATAGTTCACTAGACAATTCACAACTCATACCCTCCAACTCCACATCTACAAGAAATTCACACAACCTAACCTTCAAGATACCCTACTGCCGTACACAATACCGTCAACAATCTTTCTTCCCACGTACCATCAAAGACTGGAACAGCCTACCTCCAGACACTACGTCAGCCGGTACAGTTGAGTCATTCCGTACTCATCTGTCCCAACTCTATATCTAAACCACACTCTTGTCCGTTTTTAACCTGCACTGTACATATTTCTCACTATTTTTACTCTTTCTTTCCGTCTTTGCGCATTAACCTGGCAGTAAACTTCAGTTAGTTGAAGGTGGCCAGTATATTGGAAGAAGAAGAAGACATATGTAGGTCATGTAACGTCAAAATTGTAAACACCTTCGAGTTTGTCAAGTTGTTGGAGACTGCAGACGAACAGTGCTATGGTGACTACTCATGTCGTTTTAAACGCATGGCAGCAAGTCCTCTTACGCCAAAGCTGGCAAAACCTGATTCAGGTAGGAATTCAGTTTTATCCATTACAGTTTTTTACCCGTAAACACTAAATTATATTCTCAAGATCACTGGAATTCCGAGTCATCACTTCAGTAATTTTTTTTCCAATTTTCAAAACAACCTGTGGCTTTCTGAAGGGGAAAATATAAAGGGGGAAATCAAATTCCAACAACTGACATTTTATAAAAATTTTAATTTCAATTCAAATTAATCATGCACGGTACATAGCAGAGGCTTTAGGGATTCTTGCTGATATAATAAGTCAGATGCTGTTATTGAAGTACACAGGGCATTACGGGGGAAAATATTAGCTTTTTAAGGGAAAAATATACATATTTTTAGCTAGGGGAAACACCCTTTATTCGGCTGTAAAATAGGGACAGGCTACAGGGAAAAAATCACTGCACTTAAATGTATTTTACGGTAATGAAATAATATTTATTTATTTGAGTAGACAAACCGCTACAACCGCTTCACCGCTGAATCCTTTCCACATTATTTGCTCTACTGTCATTTCCACACTGGATTACATATAGTAAACTATGATGCTAACACATGCTACCATTTGTTCATTCTAAATGGAGTGATATTATTATATTCTGTTTTCGTAGCTGTTTAGTGCATTTACTTTATCAATTAATAAACATTCTTTTAATTTTGCAGCGCCAAAAAAGAGACTTTCAGCTGCTAGGAAATCTCTAGAACTCTCCCAACCTGAAGTGCCATTACAACCAATGTCTGTACACACAGTAGACATGCCTTCACCTCCACCTTCATGTGAGCACAATTACAGCTTCATGTCTATTCCACCCACTCCTAAGATGACTGAGAAGACTGAGAAATCTGGTTTTAAACTTCTCAAGAAACATCTACTGGAACAGGATGATGTCTGTGATGAAAATGTGATAACAGCAATTCTAGATACTATCACATCCAATTCTGTAAGTACATTTTTATTTCTGAGTATCATCAACGGTCTTAATAACCATAAATCTGTGGTATCGTTTAAAAAGTAATAAGCTGCATGAGACCTGCCATACTGAATTTTACATGTAGATAAAATTAATGAATACAATTCCTAAAATTTATTATATATGTTTTATTAAAACATATTACAATTGTATGCTTTTGAAATTAGGTAAGATCAATACAGAAAATGAACCAGATTAGTCTTAAGGAAGGATTTGTAGATATAATACACAAAACTCATTTTGCAAACCCCAAAATACTACAAATAAATAAAAGTTTACTAACATTAACTTATCTGTATGCAAAATGTTGCCAAATAATTTGATTGTGATATACCTTACAAGGTATATATTTATTAAGTATAAATGCATTTCATTACAAAATAACATAAACAAATTTAAGGTTCTAAGAAAAGCTGTACAAGTTCGTCTTTTGAAAGAGATCAACATGGAGTGCACAACCCTTTCTGCAAGGAATGTTGCATTTACCAGTGTCCTTTCTCGGTACAGAAGTGTTGCCAACCTGTATCACTATGGTGATACTCTCTTGGATGAAATCATGCGTGAGATGTCTGAGAGGTAAATGTTTTGAGATTTAAATATGAATTATTTCAAATTAAATTGAAAAAAGGTGTTTTTTAACCTTGTTATTAAAATTAGATTACTTGTGTATTCTGTATACTTTTCAGGAGCCATTTTTTATATAAGAATTCTTGTCCTCAGGAAATGTATTATAAAATTTATTAAGATATACTATGCTCATCCTTGAATAAGATATTTTAGAACAGAAATGTATTGAAATCTATAAAATTCTTACCTAATATGTCTAATTTGAATAAAAGAATAAATAAAATATGTATCAGAAGCTTCGTTCCTTATTACAGGTCAAGTTAAGTTGGTCTTTTTTTTAATGATACTATATATTCCATTGTGCCCACCTAAAGGGTGTTGAATTTGAAAGATAACATATCTACTTTCTATAAACTCAAAACATGTTTAATGTATATTTACAAAGGTACTGTGTTATCAATTATCAGTATTTTCTGATGTCAGATTTGGGCATGGTAAATCTCTTTTCTTTTTTTTTGAAAATGTAGTATGCTGCTGATAAATAACACTTACAGATTATCATTATTGGTGCCTGATTGATACATAGATGTGACTTGAGTTATTTCATTTTTTTCTGTTTGTAGATCCCTTTTCTGCTGGATATATTTTCTATGATTGTCACTGGTGGAAAAGAAGCAAGGGAAGAAAAAATTGCACCCATATGCAGTTTTAATGCATGCCAGATCTGATAAGTTGTCTGCATGGCATAGGTTAACAACAATTGTAACCATTAAGGGACATACAGATGATTCAGTAAGTCAAAACCCTTCTGTGTATAGCTTGTAAGCAATGGATCTCAATACTTACTTTTTAATGGTTCAAGTAGGCAACTAATAATTTTTTAAATAATGTAGTCCTTTAATCCACAGTTTTATAATTTGCCCAAAGTGCAATAGCAAAGGCATGCTGATTTCATTTTCATTCCATTTTGAAAACAAGTTTATAACAATAAGATAATTAATTAGAAATTTGACCACTCCATTGTGAAGCCTCATTGTGAAAGTCAGTAAAAAATATCAGATAGGATTTACCTTTAACAGGTACCAATATCAAGATATATCAATAATCAAAAAGAGAATATGCTTCTATTGTAAAATGATTTCCTTGTTACTATTACTTGTAGAAAGCTGATATACATTTGTTAGACAGTTCCACTGTTTAAGATCAAAATGTCATTTATTGCAGGCTATCACAAGACTTAACCGCATGGGATTAACCTTGTCTGTCTCAACAAAACTCCGCTTACTTGATGAAGCCGGTGCTATGATGGACACTGCTATTGTCAGTAAGCTACAAACTAACCCACTGTTCAAAGTAACTGGTGACAATTTGGACATTTACATCAGAACTGGCCACAAGTCCTTGGAGAAGTCAAATACAGATCTTCATCTGTTTGCGTCAAATGCTATCTTTAGTCGAGTATGTAATTTATCTTTATATTTTTCATATAACAGATATTGATTTTAATAGCTTATACCAGGAAAACAGCATTGAAATTAATACATCTTTATATTTTAACACCTCTCTTTAATAGCTCTGTTTCCCTAGTGTTAAAAGTATATTATCTACATGTTATCAAAGATTTGTTGAGTATACATGTAGTTAGTTTCAAAGATTTGAACTGAATGCAATGAATTAATTTTTCATTCCCAAACTTTGATGTTTTCTAACAAAGTCATTGTTGATGTATACATGTTACATTCACAGGTAGCCAAACCGGGTGTTTTCAATACTGCGAGAGTTAGCCGTCCACTACATACTCTATACCCATATATGTTCTTCTTATCTGGACACTACAGACAGACAATGGTTAACAGTTACTGTGTGGTGTTAGGTTGGTTAACATAATTGATATTAACTTTTTTAAGCATTACTCATCAGATCTTGATTGACCCACACTTTTTTTATCATGGGTTTTTCTGTAGTTTTTTCAACAAAACTGAAAAAAATTGATCAGAATTAATAAGATTCTGATACACTACTGTAACAATGGTATGTCCAACAAAAAACCATTATGTGATTATTACTTTTCAAACTTTTCTTTTTAACCTCTTTTACATTATTGTAAACTATAACTTACAATGTTGTGTCTAACCTCTTGTAATGTATAATATATTTATTGTCTCTCATACATGTACCTTTTTTAAAATACAATTACACTGGATTTTGAAAAAGCATTACTACCTTACAGGGAGAATTCTTGCAGAACTGAAGGAGTTCTCTTGGATGAAAAGTGTTCTGCCTGCTCACATTTATCATCCATATCAAGTACAGATGAGTCAGAAGTCAGAAGTGTTCCAGCTGCCAATATTGATGAAGAATGTGGCAAAACATGAAGATTGCGTTGATATTTTGGATGGATATGAAACCTTTATAAGTGATTTGTTTGTTACAGCTTTTGGTTAGTATAATTTATGTTTACACATTGCTTGCTATATTTCATGAGTTTCAGGAAGTATGTCACAGAGATTAGAAGAAATATGGTAAACCATATTGTTTTTGAATGAACATATATTCTTAATAATGGCAACATTATTACCATGGACGGATGCATTTTTGTCTATAAATGTAATGTTAACAGTTGTTTATCTATTTTCCTTAAGAAAGAAATCTCAAGATTAAACTGCCAATTGACAAATTGATGTCTAATCTAATCCAATCTAATTATCTATGACATACATTGAAATGATTAATCGCATTTTAGAATTATGAAGTTAAAAGTCTGTTTAAAGTTCATTTGTTGATGTTCATGTTTTATTCTTTCTTGGCTTAATCATATTCACATATGATGCCCAGGCCCAAATTTCATGAAAATGCTAAAGTAAATGCTTAGTTAAGTATGCTATTTTGAAATATTCTTTTTTTTATTTATACAAATTTATTTTAGATCCATTGTGAGGGATAATTCGTCAATAGATAATGTAAAAATGTAGAACTTGTTTTATTTCCTAGCCTGGTACCAATACCAATATGACAAGGGATTACCATTAGTTCCATTTGATAATTTGACACAAGATTCTAAACCTGAATACATAGATTTTAATATTCTTAAAAAATTACCATGAAAACCTTTTCTTTCTAGACCCTACCATATCATTACATTTTGTCCAATATTGTTATGTTTTTGTTACTTGTTATTGTTTATTGTTACTTGTTATTTTCCTGTTTCTTTTTGAATATAGGATGGTTAAAAGTTTGTTAACTATTGAACAGAGGTAAGATACAATAAATATAAGTTATAAATTTTTTTTTAAGGTTCTTGCTTTGAATAAAGGGATAAATCTTTTTTCCACCATTTATACAACATGAGTATCTAAATACAGTGAAAAAGGATGAATTGATTAAGATATTTTAGCACATTCAAGTACATGACTATTTTAGTAATTTATGATTTGTTAAAAATCAGTACAATCCTTTCATAAGATATACATTGTAATATTGTTTTGGCATGATTAGTTTAATTCACAGACTTTGGAATTCTATAAAATTATGACAAAGGATGATATACATGTATAAATATTTTTACTCAGGTTCTGAGGACACCCTGCATAAATACAGAGTACCTGTAGGTGGAGACCAATTGACCAGAGTAAGACTCGAAGAAGCCAAAAACCTTCGAACTTTGGCAACTACTCCCAAGAAGCGATTTGAAGATCTTCATCCATTTGTCATAGAGCTATGGCATACTAAACAAGATTTTCTTGAGGTAATACATTCGGTAATTTAGACTACAGTTAACCCCCCTATTGAGACCACTTTCAATATCTGATAATCTCAAAATCATTACTTAAAATTTTTCAGTCTCAAAGTAGTAAACAGAATGAAAAAAGAGTTTTTTTTTAGACAGATTCTATTTAAATGTCCGTATGTAAGTGGTTTTTAAAGCAGACTTTTACTGTATATTGCATAAAAATACAAACACATAAAGACCTGCCTTCTTGGTCAAGTTTTTGACTGGAAATCATTGTAACCTGTCACTGAGGTCAATGGGTTGTACATCACTATCAAACGATTCTCTATCTGGAATGGTTATACCAATTTCTTATGGAGGATTGGGACTCATAAGAACTTATTGCTCACGGAAGGTCGGTCGTTCTACCCCAGTGCCCTTTTGCGCTGAAATAATTAACTGAGGGGAACCCAGGTTCTTCCTCCAACAAAAATGCTTGAATGACTTAAAATTGTGTCGGTGTGACGTTAAAACCAAAAATTAATTTAATTTCAGTCAAACATTTCTCTCCTTGCAGGAGAAATGTCAGTTTATTAATGATAGATATACTTACATCCTTTTACAGAAATGCTACAAGGAGCTTTATAGTACCAAAACCCTCCGTCAGCCTGGAACCCTGTATCATTATAAATCAAAGTTACAGCGTACAGATGTCAACGGCAAAGTCAAAGGGGCCTTTAAGTCCCACCATGATTTCATAATGTTAGTCGGGAAAAGAATGGTCACAGAGCAGTTCATAGAATATTTTGGAATGGAGAATTCTTCATCTGCGCCAACTAAGAATGTCCCCATAATCAAGAAGTCCGTCTGTGAACGAAGAGTTCAAATGCACGAGATATTGGAAAAATTTATGGACCACTATGGTTATTTGAAGGATTCCTGTGATTTAAGGAAATCGTGCGATGAAACAGACAGTGTGTATAACTACAGTTCTAACTTATGCCACTGGGTAGTAAATTTGCTCAATATGGATGACATTGCTAAGGAAGAAGACATGGTCCGTCTAGTACCAAGCCTAATGTTCTCACTACAGTTCTTCTTCTCACACTCAAGACTCTCCAAATACTTTGAAGAATGTGTTGACTTTATACTGAAGTGTGAGTACATGTTAAGCCCAATGGACAGAATACGGGTGCTGGAAGGAGCATTTACCAACTTAAGAGGGGGTATTGGATGCAATATCGAAAGTGATCTTGTTCAAGAGAACTCTGTAAGAAACCAAAAGGACTTGATTCGATCTCTGGGTGCCAACAAAACAGACAAGGCCATAATGCGTTGTACAAAGGCAGCAGATATTGTAGTTGATATATGTGATAAAATTGACTCCTCTGTTGCCCTAAAAAAAACATCCAGTAGACATCACACACCAAGAGCTGCCAAAGATGAAGAACTTATCGCCAAGTCCCTGAGAGAACTTAGACCATTCAGTAATATTTCTGGTAGAACTTGCCAGGGTCTTCCAAATATACTCAGTTCTCCGTTAAAAAAAATTGACCAAAAAGATTTGAAGCATAGAATGAATCAAGTCATTGAAAGACTGTTTTATGGCCAAACTGGAAATGTTGATAATGCGCTTGAGGGAGACGACTAAGGCCAAAAGCGTGATTGTTTTTAGTCTGCCATTATGCATTTCACCTTTCCCACATTGACATGTGTTTGAATGCATCTATGACCATTGCAGTTCCAGGTCAGCCTGCACATTTGTGAAGTCTGATCAGGATCTCCACTGTTCATTTTTACTGTAAGATTCTTTGAAGCTCACCCAAGGGCTAAACAGTTTCCAAAAGGGGGCTTTAATTGAAACAAATTTTTGTCTAAATCCAAAAATCATTGGAAATAGATTTTATGTAGCTGAGTCTGCAATTTTCATGGAATTTTGTTTTGATTTATGCTTCCGAAGGAGCAAACTTCTCCTGATATTCAAACATTGAAGTATTAAATTAAAATGACTACTCATTAGTTCAGCTCTGATGAGATATTTTTTACCATATTAAAGTACCTTGGGGTGGGACATTATTAAAGGAGGGACGTTTATTAGGAATTTTATTGGTGTATTCATAGAAGAATCTCTGACTGTCAGTAAAGCGAAACGTTGAGATCCAGATCAGAATAGAAAGATGTGCAGGCTGATCTGGATCTGCACTGGTGGCAAATGCATTTTAAGATCCTGTAACACAATTTTTTTATGATTTTATATCATAAATATAATGCCCAAATTAAGATTTATCAATTTTGTATGTTCCGAAAAGCATTATTTGTAAAGATATTACCGAATTTAACAGTTCGTGTAAATGAAGGGAGGTAATTAGAAATTTATTTTCTATAAATTCCAAGTAAGTTTTCAAATAAAAATTGAGTGCATATATTTTAATGATTACATATGTGCAGATATATTTGCGGTACATATTTTTACATATTATTTGATTTTGAAAAAAAATTTATTATCATAATAATGTGCATATATATATAATTTTACTTAAAGTGTGGTATACAATCTCAGTTACAACATACAGGATCAAGAAGGATGCATTTGGGAAAGGGTTAAATTAAACCCAGATTGTTTCAAAACTTAAAGATAAACTATGCTCATCTTTGAGAAAAATATTTTTAACACAGAAATTTATTGATGTCTATGAAATTTTTATTGAATATGTCTAATTTGAATAAAAGAATGAATAAACTATATTTAGTAAGATACATTCACAATTATCAACCATTTAAAGTTGGTAATTTCTTTAAAAAAACTGCCAGTTTTTTTAATGACATATTGTGACCACCGTTAGTGTGTTGAATTTAAAACATAACATATCTACTTTGTGTGAAACCAAAACATGTTTATTCTATATTTACAAAGAGACTGTATATCAATTCTTAATATTTTTGAGCATAGTATATCTTTAAGGTCCAATGCTAAGGAAAGTGAAAATTTGAATTGCTTTTAAAAAGCGAAGAAACTATTTAATTTTATTGGTATTAAAGTGAAAGGTGGTAAAAAATACTATGTAGAAATTCAAAATAAATCACCATAAATCTCTTAATTATTTTTCTATGAGTAAATAAGACCTCGGTATCTCTTGGTCAGTTCACTAAAATTTAAACAGAAAACATACATGTACATTTAGAAGGGTAAGGGTAGAATAATTAATTTCACATGTAACATGGTGATTTTCCAGTGTGAATACAAGTCAGAACCATGGGAATATGTATGTGAAGGTCACACTTTGGTATGTTGTTTGAAAAACATATTTGTTAAAACTACTGCTTTACAGATTTTGTTTAACTAATTATTGGTTCTACTTTTAAGCAGTAAATTTTGAAGAGTTAACATTTATTAATTCAAATCTGTTACCTTGCAGTTTGTATATACAAGGAATGAACAGAATTATTGTAAAAATGTTCACTTTTATAAAATTATAAACTTGCAATCATATGCAACAACTAGTAAAAGATACATAAAGTTCACTTTTTGTTACTTTTCTATCCATATCGATTTCAACTACCAGTTATTTAATTTTTTCCCCTACAAACAGACTAAAATTATATATGTCTATAATATAGCAAGGCATAACAGGATATGGTTATGTCACCAGGCCCAAAGAGGTGTCTTAGATAGGCAGCAGCCCGACCTGTGTAAAACAAATGCATAAACATTAATGTAACTGGATATGCAGCCGGATCTTCATGTAATTTATCAAATTCTTGAACAAATATGTCTTCAGATATTTCATCTGCATCTCTACTTTTTACTTTAGATATCTTGGCAATCTGAATTATTCTTTTATATAAGTGAATGAAAACAAAAAGTCAAGAAGTTTATATGCTGTACTATTACTAAGCATAATGTTTAAATAGTCAACACTGATTACAATAATAGAAAATCATAGTGTAGCATGTACTATTGCTATGAAAACTGATTTTTTTTACAATCAACTGATGGTGTACATGCCATTTAGGTGTGAAAGAAATCATTCAGGAATTCTTTATTTTGTCATGTTAAATACAATAAGTATTTGATATACCCGGTATCTTAAGAGTTAATATTTGATTAAAGATATTTTAATGAAAGATTCCCATAGTATATCTTTAAGAAATAATCTCCATATATAATATACAACAATGGAAATAAAAACTTGTGACATTAACTTTCCAAATTCATTTTAAGGTTTTTACAATCTAGTGAAAAACACTTAAATTAATTATGCACAAACCGAAAAGAATACACTCATACTAGATGTGTTTGCCTTGTAAGATTTTTTTTATAAGATTTCTCAGAATATGTACACAATAAGAAATTATTGACACTTCAACCAAGCTGTATAATCTGAGTTGATAACCTCTGCCAGGATTTGAACCTAGATCTCTCTGCATAGTCCATGTAGAGTATTCTGCTATTGAACTACAGAGGTTTTAAATGATAGATATATACAGTCTTGAGCAGCATCAGCTAGCTATCATTTGAAAAACTTATTAGATTTTATTTCAGCATTTAGTTTACATCTAACACATTACTATTACAAATTTCATTGCCTTTAAAATTCCAATTTTAATAGAAAAATCAAATAATGAAATTTCAAATCACAATAAAACGTTTCAAAAGGGTGTATTTAGTGATACAAGTACATATTTTAAGCCAGGCTGCTAGTCTCGATAGATAGAGCACTGGCCTATGTAAGACGGGTTCTCAAGGCACATTGTATGTTCTATGAGGTGATTCTGTTGAATAATGATAAAATGTAATTTTTACAGAATAATTTGAGTCACCTAGAGCAAAATTGAGGCATTTTACAGATATTTTCAGAGTTTGCACAGTAACATGAGAAACAAGATCTGTCACAGGGGACAGCAATGCTCAACTAATTAAATAATGGACCCATTAAAGGACAACAAAACTATGAAAAAGATCAATTAGGATATAAATATATTTCTGTATCAGTATCAAGAAAGCCTCATATGTCTAATATTTTGCACCACAGTACAATGTACATGTGACCATATCTAAGACATTTTTATATGTGAAATTTGGAGTCAATCCATTCAGATTAAACCTAAAATATATACAGTTTTTAAAATAAAATCAAGAGTTTACAGTACAGAGGAATTAAAACTTAAATAAAAATGCTAGAGTTATGAACCTTTCTCATTTTTCCTACTATTTTATTAACCTCCTATTACAAAATCCATCATGAAGTTGATCAATTAATTCTCTCATTCATTCATTCATTTATTGAAATGTGTGATAAACCACGAAAAAAATTGGCGTGTATATTATACAACAGATATTGTTTGCACTATATAAATTAAGTTTGCCGAAACCACTACCTGTTTTATTATATATGTAAAATCAGTTCCCGAACTAGTAGTTCGACGAAACCACTCTCTGACACCAACAAACAATAGAATTTGTTTTGCCTCAAAACATACTCGGCCCCGGTGTCAGCTAGGCCCTATTCCAACTTGGCACAGGTCAATTGGGCCCACTTTTAAAAATGGGTAAAGGACATCAAAGGACTCCTATTGTCAGGGGCTATTATTATCAATCAATGTTTATCAGTTTTTATGTTAAAGATACCAATTAATTAGCAACAAGACTTTGAAAAACCTGATAGATGAGACTTTTGCCGTAGCCAACAGGCAAATTAACAATAATTTACGTCTTTCCCAGACAATGCATGGCTCAAACATTCAACCTGTTTTGCCATATGGGTGAGAGTAGAATCGAAAGTATTAATTTCTTTAATACTTTCTTTTTAAAAGCGGCCATTGTTTTGGAATGAAACGGTGCATTATTAAAAAAAATTCTCATAAGATTGATAATATTAAAGTTTTTGAAATTATTTTTTATTTTAGTTTACATCTAATACATTATAGTCTTAAAACATTAGCAAAACCGTGTTTACTTTTTAAAATAAATATAAAAATTGAAAAAAATTCATATCGTCAAAAATCTTGACGAAAATGTTGTGATGGCAGAGATCTTATCTTGTTTACAAGGGGAGATCACTGCGTCGGAGATTGACCTTAGTGAAGGACAATATTTAGTGTTTTGAGGCCTTTATGAATCGCGCATGCGCTGTTAAATTGAGGAAAATATCAGTATGGCGGAGGTTAGTCCCGGATAAGATTTTTCTTAAAATTTGAAGAAATTGATGTAAGTATCTTTTAAATCTTGTAGCCGTTATGTTACATATTTTATACTGAAACGAAATGATTACTTCATGAAACAGAAATAACTAATGTGCCAACACAAATTACAAAAAGTTAAGGTGATTCTGCTTTGTCAGCCATGCACTAACAAAGTTCTATGCTCCTGCGTTTATGAATAAATTATGCAAATGAGCCACGTTGAGCCGCCATGTTTGAGTTTCGGTAAGCGTGTTGGAAATTGCTACCTGTTCGTTTTGAAAGCTCGTCCTAACTTACAGTTTCCTTGAATGTAGGAAAACTTGGTTTTGTTTGATTGCATACTGAATGATAGGTATTACAAAATAAATATAATGAAAATCGATCAATCAATAATTGTATACAAGCGTTATAAAGTCAATTTAATTCGTCAGAATAATAAGATTCTGTTGCAGGGTATCGGTAAAAGACTGCTTTTTTCCCCGTTTTTGAAATTTATTTGAACACGGAGACAATTTTTCTCAAACAGGTTTATGAATATACTTTACGTTGCAACAGAGTTTACCGTGTGTCCATTCCTTATTTAAAGACATTTTCTACAGTTTTATGAAAAATTAATCCTTTCATAGAATTTTCTAAATTTTTTGTATGATGAGTAAAATTTAATGACGAATTTAAAAATAAAAAGAAAAATATATGTTGACGTGTTGGATTTCTTATAAATGGCAGTTTCCATGGTAACCGTATATCTAAAAACTGTCAAAATAGCCTAACTGTGTTATAACGAATAGAAAATGTATAAGATAGCTTAAAATACACAACAAGCATTGTTTCATGCAAAGATAACCTTATCTAATGATTCTGTATGAAACAAATGATAATCTGAACATATTTCTTTAAAAAATGAGTTTTCCATGTTCCTCAACCGATCAAAATATGAGAAAAATAAACATGAATTCTGAGAATAATTAGAGATATTGAAAAAAGTATTTCATACGATTTTCTAATTTTTTTGTATGTTGTGTAAAATTTAATGACAAATTCAAAAAGAAAAAGAAAAATATATGTTGGCGTGTTGGATTTTTTGAAAAATGGCAGTTTCCATGGTAACCGTATATCTCAAAATTGTCAAAATAGCCAAACTGTGTTATAATAATGTATAAAATAGCTTATTACACTCACAATAAACATAAGTTTACACAAAGCTTGCTTTATCTAAGAGTTCTGTATAAAACAAACGATAATTGGAACATAATTCTTTTAAAAATGAGTTTTTTTATGCTTTTTAACTAAACAAAAAATGAGAAAAATAAACATGAATTCTGTAAAAAATTAAAGCTATCAAGAAATTTCTTTCATAGAATTTTCCACATTATTGATATATCAAGTAACATTTGATGGTGGATTCAAAAATAGAAATAAAATATATATGTTGACGTGTTAGTTTTTTGTTTTGTAAACGGGCAGTTTCCATGGTTACCGCATATGCCAACTGTCAAAATTACCACACTTTCTTAAGAAATATCAGTGTTATACTAAATGTATTGTCAAATATACAACAAAAACATGTTGTAATAAAAATTTCTTTTTCTTTTGATGTTATATTAAGTAAATGATACTGATTATCTTTCTAAAACATATCTAGGGCCATATTATTTTTTTTTCACTCGACTAACATACCCGAACAGTAAGCAAGTATTCAGAAATTTACAAAGAAAATAATGAAATTCGGAGCATTTCTTAGATATTAATTTTGTTTTTTTATTCAACACTTTTAAAATATATCATTTTAAACTTCTTTGCCCAGTTGTCTGCCAGTAATCAAGTCGCGATGCACTTTCGTTACTATACCACAAGTGGCTGGGGTAACGCGCGCAGAATTATCATCAATGCTGTCGTACTTATGCTTGGAGAAATCCTTTATGTGATGTTGTCTAAACGACCTCTTATTCTTTTGAACCGATCTCCTTTTGAACATTTAGAAATATCTATTCTGTATTATTTACTCATTATTTGCTTATAGCCGAAATTTAAACACTTATCCGAATACTATTCAACTTGACCTTCATTTGAAGAGTAATTATCCGTGATTATCTTTCTTGGAAGCGCATAACGATGCGCACAGAAAACTACCGAAAACGTCTTTAAATTGTCTAAGAAGTTAAATCTGTTTGTTTACATGTAAATGTGTACCGTCATTTTGACCGACTGGAATAAAAACTATTATGATGGTGATAATACCGGATATGTAATGAAAATTGCGCCGTGTAGTGCAAAGTTTTCGACATTGCAATTAAAATTAACGCTTACGTTGATTCAAACTGTTCCTTGTCAGCAAAATT